CCATTTCCGAGCTCGGCAGCAGCGTGGTCTGCGGGCAGGGGCGCCAGCTGCATGTATTAAAATAACATGTGTTCCAGGGCGCCAGGTGGTGAACTTGTCGCAATCTACCCCCGCGCTGAAAAACCAACGCACCTGGGCCTGAACGAAATACATACGCATGTATTTTTCGCATGGAATTTTCGCATGTATGCGTTTCGGGGCCGTTCCCATGCCGCATCGGCCGATCGCCGATTTGCGCCGACTGCATATTTTTCAAAGTGCTGCATTTGTGGTTCCAGCGGGCCGCGCGGGGGCCCTCGCTGCGGCGGCGTGGGCGCTATGATCGGGCAGTGAAGTCGATGGCTGGCTGTGCGCGGCCTCTTGCAGTGCGTGGCCGGTCGCGCCCGTCGCGTCGGGCGCGGTGGCCTTCACCTGCAGCCCGCCGCCCCAGCGCGGGCGCTCGGCGGCGCGCGCCTGCCCCGCCGCGCCGTAGCAGCGGCAGGCCGCGATCTACCGCCGCGCCGCAGGAGGGTGGTGGTGGGTGGCGGGGGGGGGCGCTGGGAGTCCGTGGCTGTCTCCCCCTGCAAATTTCGGGCTTCGTTTCCCGTGCCCAGTGGTTTCGATTGCCCTTTGCTCCAACGACGCGCGCTGGCGGGGGGGGGTGGCGGGAGGTGATAGGTGCACCGCCCGTGGCACGTGGGCTTCGCGGCTGGACGCAGCGGGCCTCTGGGGGCGGGGGCCAGGGATCTGACAGTTCTGGTTTTCTGTGCGCGGGACGTGGAGGCTGACAGGCGGGCTCCGTCCGCATGGCCAACGGGTTCGCGACCCGCGGAAGTCGGGCGACCCGCGGCGCGCGACGGCACGCGCGTTGCCGCGGGCGCGCGCGGGATGGCAGGGGTTGGAGTTTGGGGCAAGGGCACCGACGGCCAACCTGGTGCAGTCGATGGTCGCGGCGCGCAGGACGTCTCGGCGATGGCCCTGAATTGCGCTGGTCAGGATGCGCGCGCGCAGCCGCGGGTCCGCGCCGTTCGCGCTCGGCATCCTCATTGCGAAAACAAAGGTCCAGGGGTCGCGGCCGCGGCTAGGCCATGGCGGCTTGATATTGGCGGGGCAAATCCCTTTACATTGGATGCTGGTGCCACCCCCCGTTCGCAGGTTGGACGAGTTCGGTCATGGGTGCATTGGTGATCGCTCCGTGTTTGACCTATGTCGCTCAGGGCTCGGCCGCCGCGCCGATGGCGGATTTGCGTCGATATGGCATCGGCTTCGGGTGCTTTAGCTGGCGGGCCACGGTTCGAGAGGCGCCCAATGTCATGTTCGGGGCTCAATGCGTCGGGCCACGGGCCCCAATCGTTATGGCGCGAACCGCGTAGCCGATCGCCCAGCCCTGGGCGGGCCTCACATCGGGCTCGAGGTGTTTCGGCCCGCTGGGGGCGCGCCCTGGCCCGAATGTTAACCGCCGTGACCAGGTCGGGCCAGGGGGTCGTTCGCCCGCGGGGCGAGCAGGGCGCGGTGCCCAGGTCCCAAGTAGCGGGGCCGAGAGCTGCAGGCTGCAAGGGGCGTTGCGCGCGCAATGTGTAGCCGTCGTGCCCAGTTGGCGGCACGGGGCACAATATGGTCGATCTTCGCAGGGAAAGCTGGTGCTCGGGGCCACGCGGCGGGAGGCGATCGGCGCAGTCGACGAGGCGAGGTGGCGGAGGGGGGTGGCGGGGGGCGGCTGGGTCGGCCCGCATGGCTAGGCGAAGTGCCTTAAGCATTTGCGGCGCTGGGAGCTCGCGGCGGCATCGGCATGGGCGTCTAAGCGCAGGCGGAATGAATGCGGTGGGCCGTGGGCATTGCTCTCTGTGCCCGCGCGCGCGTGGCGGCCCGAGCGGCCCTGGTTCAAGGATTCTCTGTCCTTTTTCAATGTGAGAGCCGAGCTAGGCTCGGTGCCGTCGGGACCGACGGTGCAGGGCAAGCCATGGACCGCCCAGGGCTTGCTTTGAAGGCCGAGTGGGGCAGGTATATCGGGCTTCGTGTTGCTGGTTGCTGATCGGAATCGACGGCATGCGCGCGCGTTTCGCGGGAGGCGCGCCGCCGAGGTCGCCGTCGCCGTGTGCGGGGCCGCAGCCGCGCTCGCGGCGGCGGCTGATAGGTGGGCAGCAGCGGGCCCGTAGTTCGAGGTTCAGTGTGTTCGTCGCCGGCGCGCGGCAGTTCTCGAGGCGCGCGAGGGCGTCTCGATGCATGGGGTTTGTTGGGTTGTGGGCCAATCGCGGGCTAATGGCACATGTTCGCGCCATCGGCACTGGGCCGCAGGGTGACGTCGACGTGGATATTCGATGTCTGTGCCGAATGGGTCGGCGCCGCTTGGTTCGGCGTTCCCAATGTGCTGGTTGGTCACGCGCTTGTTCGCGTGTCGTTGCGGCCGAGGCTCAATGGATCGGGGCGGCCCAAGGTCGATGTCGGCGGGCGTTTGCCTCGGGCGCATGCGCAGTCATGGTGGCCGCGGGTCGAGGGCGGGCAGGCGGCGGGTGGGCGGGCGTGGGGGGGCGGGTGGCAGCACGACCGTTGAGGGCCGCCCACAGTGTCAGAGCGATGGCGCTGGGGTCGCGCGCAAGGTGTCGGCGATGCGAAGTGCAGAGGTTGTTGTGGTTGCCGAACTGGCGTCGTGCCCAGCCGTTGGCATTCCTCCAAGCGCATGGCCCGCCGCTCAGCGCACTCGGGGGCGCGGGGCACGGTGCGCGGTGCGCAGTGCCATTGCGCCAGGGCATCGCGCTTCGAGCGAGGGCCGCGGCGCATCGGGCTGGTGCATCAGGGGCTAGGGGCGAGAGCCGAGGGGGCAGGGCCTCGGCCGCTGGCAGCGCCCAAGTCAGGGCTGCTGCGGGGGGATGACGGCCGACTGCTTGGGGCCGCATGCGCTTCGCTCGAGGTTGGCACGCGGTGCCTGGTGGCAGAATCAAGTGCGGTGGCAGCCGACTGGCCAGGTCCATTGGCCAAGCTTCGAATGCCGAGTGTTTAGGTTCTCGGGCTGCGGGCGCGATGTGAGACTTCGGGGTTGGGCTCGAGCGCTCGGGGCCAATGATGATTTGAAGCGTTGGGCGGGTTGGCCATTGCCCGCGGCCTCGCCCGACGCGCATGGGCTGATGGCTCAGGGCAATGGGGCCGAGACCACAACCCCAGGGCCTCTGGGACATGGGGCTCGGGCTCACCGTCCGAGCCGAAAGCTGATCGTGGCTCGGTGCTGAGGCGCCCTGGCAGGGGAGCGGAGACATGCGCGCGGCAGTGCGAGGAGCCGTGCGCGGGGCAGGCGGTTGGGGATTGGCGCCGCGGGCGCCTTGCCGCCTCAGACGGCCGCGCGCCCTCGTGCCCAGGGCGTCGGGCACTGGGCTTCATGCTCGGCTCAGTTGCGAGGGCGTCGCATGTCAAGGTGAGGGCATAGGCTCGGGCCCGATAGCCACGGGCGCAAGGTTCGGGGCCAGTCGGCGGAGGAGCTGGCGCTCGGGAGTTGGAGCTCGTCGGGGGCCGAGCCCAAGAGGGCTTAGGGCTTGGGCTTCTGATGCGTCGCCTCGGCGCTACCGCGCGCAATGGCGCTGGGGACGCGGCTCAATGCGCATGGCGGGGACGGGTGATTAAGCGCGTGCGAGCGTGCCTTTACGGCCTGCAACGCGCGGCGCGTTTCTCGCAGTGGGGTCTCAGCGCGTGGCTCGGGGTTTTGACACCCGAGCTAAGCGCGTCTGGGGCCGTCGGGGGCCGCGGCGCTGCGCGCGCGGTCTCGGGGAAAATACATATGCTTGGGCCGCCCCGTCTACTTGGGCCCTTGAAGCCCCGAGCGCGCGATTCGCGGCAGGGGCAGGCGCACCGCGTGATTCGGGGCCTTGTCTTGTAGGGCCTGCGTTTGCTCGCGCCCTGGCAGGTAGCAGGCCCCTATCTTATAGCGCCCATGTCTTGCGCCCGAGAGCTCTGTGCTCGGAAATTCAAGTGTGCGTCAGCCGCGGGGCCGTCTGTAAGTTTCGCGCGGCGAGACGCGCCGTCTCGGTGCGAACTGTCAAGGCCCTGGGCTTCGGGGTCAGCTTCCAGCGCGCGGCTGGGGCCAGGGGGCTCTGCGCCCGCTGCAGACAAGTTGGGTCTACCCGCGGTGCCGCGCGGGCCGTTCCGCACATATCCACCCGCTTTGGGTTACATGTTCAGGTTTCCGGAACGGGGAGCGCGGCATCGCCGAGTTCGGTTGCGTCGCCACTCTCCCCCCTCATATGGCTCGGGCGCATGATTTTGTTTTTGTTTTTTTTGTTTTCCCCGCTTTGGGTGCGGTTGTTCTCGGAGTCCCGCGCAGTGCGGCGCCGTCTTGGGGCGCGACTGGGGCGCGCGTTCGCACGCTGCGCCACGCGCGCGCCTGCTCGGGCAACGCGGCGCTAGGTGTTCAGTGGCAACATGATTGACCAATAACCGTCGTTGCGCGACCGCTGCAACATCTACCATCACCGTTAACCACCGTCGTCTATTCACGGCCCGCCAAGCATGTTCAACTTATCGTCATCATTGTCTGGCATGCCACCTAAACGCACATGCACCATGCGTCATCATACACGCACCATCACCATCGTCATATATTCACATTTCGTCATGTCGCCGTTGTGCCCAGGCTTTGTCAAGGCAGGGCGCCGCCGACGACAGCCGAGTTTTCTCTTGAGCAGAGACCGCCATGGACGTCCACCTTACTGGAAACTTCAACCTCGTAGTGACTGACCCAAGTCGGCCGATGTCGTATGAAAAACGCATCGACGTCGAAGTGCCCTTGACTCTGCTGATTCTCGGGTCGAAGCCAGGGGAGTCGTCATGCCCGACGGAGAGGGACGCTGGCGAGTTCACAGTCGCAGGCGACACAGCGGGAGGAGCCAGAGGAGCCCACTGTCGTTGAGGCGGGCGCGGAACAGCAGGGAGTGGACATCTCTTTCATAGAATCTGGATGGCGCGCTGAGGTGGCCGAAATTCGGCACGCGAACGGCATGGTGCCATCCGTTCCCACCGACTGGTTGCCCCCCAAGGTAGAGAGGGCGCTGTTCCAACCGCACCGTTTCACTCTGCATGCGGGCGAGGGCGCGTCTGCCCTGGCATCGGGGCAGTCGGGCGCTGAGGACTCAGCCGTATATAAGAGCGCCGACGTCCTCGCCCAGAGGTCTGTTGAGAGCGCCGCGGGCTCTCACGCGGGCGTCGGGGCATCGCAGACCCCGTCAGCTTCGGGCAAGCGCGCCGCTTTCGATCCCAATGAAGTTTTGGAAGTGCCCGATAGCTTGAGCCCAGAGAAGCCCCCGTCCGACGTAGGATCGCAGTTTGCTCCCTCCGAGCCCCGTCATGGTTATGACAGTTTGTTTACGATGGGCGTGTGTACGCCAGCGAGGGTGCACGACGCAGGCGAGGGCCTGTGGACCCCGACCAAGGCCGTTTCAGACTCGGGCAACAGTATCCAGCCCCCGCTCAAGAGAAAGCGCAAGTGGCTTTTGAAGCCAGAGTTTGGCGGCCCTGCTTCCAGCACTTACGACAGCGGGCAGAAGGCCCGATCGGCAGCCGCGGTCCTCACCGCTCCCACCCGAGGAAATCAAACTTTTGGATTTGCTGGGCCACAAGCTCCAGAGCCCTAGCATGGTGCTTAGCGAGCTCTCACAGGCTTTCCCTCCGTGAGTGTGATGGGGCGGCAGGGGTGGCGGGAGTAAGGGATGGGCGGGAGCGGGGCATGCGATGCTAACATGTATGAGGGGTATGTCGATTGTAATTGGGGTGTGGGGAGGGATGGGTCGAGGCCAGGTCGCCACAATATCAGCCTGCTATGCGTGTGGGCGTGGCGGTGTCGCCGTTTGCTCGCTGCATGGGTCGGCTTCATCACTGCCTGATTCGGGTCATGTTTCAAAGGCGTTTGTGAATTCCAGGTGCTGGGGACGTCTGTGCCACTCAGTGCTCGTCTGCCGCTCATCTTCACTCGGGTTTGAGTGCCATTGCGGGGCAGGGCGCTCAGAGGTTGGTCCAGAGCCATGCGAGGACGTAATTATTGTGATAGTGAACATCCTTCCTCATCGTCGTCCTCTGCCTTAGTCCTTCCACTGCTCCACCCCTCGCGCCCCGCCCCTCGCCCGCCTGGTCACCCTATCCACCCCATGCGCGCCCTCGCTCACATCATTTCCGTTTTCATATGCATGCTCCTCTTGATTGTGTGTACTCTCTTCGCCATCTCCAACTCTCCCTCTCACTGCCCCTCCTCAGCCCCCTCCGTCGCCATGGTCATCCCCTTCAGCATCCCTCGCCATCTCCTCGCCAGCACCCTCATCCCTCTCCTCGGTCGTCGTTGCCCTCGGCTCGACTCCTCCGCCTCCTCCTCCCAATCCCTCTCCCCGCGCCCGTGCATCGCTCTGTGAACGCCGGCGCTGGGTCGGCGTCGGCGTGGACGTCTCGGCCGCTGGAGGACAGCCCCGCGCGCCGCTCGCGAGCCCCCCCCGCGTGCGTTTGCAGTCTCCGCCTCGTCCTCGCCGCGCGCTCGCATCCCTCGTCGCATTCATTGCCATCGGCTTTGCATGGGCGGGACGTGCCTCCCACGATATCTCTCTCCCCTCCCCCCGCGGGCTGAGCAGTGCTGTCGGAGTGATTGCGGAGCTGCGCGAGAGCGAGGGCGAGCCCAATATCGGGGGCTCGATGGGGCGGGCGCTGGAATTGTCGTCGTGGGGAGTGGGGGAAGGGCGGTTATCATCAGGGTGAGGGCTGGGGCTGGGGAGGGCGATAGTGAAGCTGGTAGCTCAGTGGGTATTCTGAGCTTCAGGAGCAGATCCACAGCCGTGCCGCCCGAATCGAACTCTCGGCCCGATGTGACGGTGAAAGCCTCGCTGCGTTGTCAACGGTGCGACGGTCGCCACTCAGAGTATGCACATCTTGTCGGTGAGTTGACGGTTGTCTGGGCGCCCGCCCCTTTCCGTCTCCATGCCCCTTTTGGCGGATATTGCCATTTATGCTCAAGCAAGGCTTGAACACCGAGCTTTAACGACACCTTTTTGTGTCAGGGCACAGTGCCAGCAGCACCGCCCGATTTCAACACCGCTCTCTCGACATGGGCAAGCGTGGTGACCACAATGCGAAGCCCCCGCAGAAGGTTCCCTGTGGCCAGGGCCGCAGGCGTCGTGGTTCTCAAGATGCCTCTGCCTCTGCTGCCCACTCGGCCGCGTCGGCGCTGGCGAGATTGGCTGCGCCTGACTCCTTCCAGTGCGGCACGTGCGATGTCACCGATGTCAGCATGGCGGTGCAAGATGCAACGGTGCCAACCTGCACTACGTGTTTCGATAGGTACTGCAAGGGCTTCACCCAGTTCGGCAGCTTGGAGAAGGTCCAGGAGGGCGTCAACGAGGAGGGCTCGCACATACACGGATGCTGGGAGGAGTCCAAGCGCATCGAGAAGGGCGAGGCCGCGAAGTCCTTCTTCCCGACGGCCGTCAACGAGGGTAGCCAGTTCATCATCGCGGTCGTGAAGCCGATGGTCGGCATAACCCGCGGGCAGCTCGTCTCAGACGTGCTGCACGAGGAGCCCGAGGCGCTGGGCATCAAGCTCCAGGACTTGCCCGACCACGAGGGGAACACCTACAAGGGCATCTTGGTCCCCAACCCGCAGCGGCCGTACTTGGAGTGCAACGTGACGAACGAGATCTACGCCAATATGCTTGCGCACAAGATGACGCCAGACCAGCAGACTTTCGATGCGCAGGCTTTGGGCACGTACGATCACGTGCGCAAGGATCGGGCAGCGTTAAGACGCACGCCTCACGCTCGGATGCTTGATCACGGGGCTTTGTTTCCTTATGTTTTCTGGCACGACCCCCCCTCCACGCGAAACTTGGAGGTGGCGTCGGGGCTTCCCCGACGCTTGCGCTTCGTCGCCCCCGCCCTCTATCGCCAGCTTGCCCCCTTGGATTGTTCCTGGCCGCATGTGCGCCCCTTTGCCCTCTCCCCCTCCCCTGCCTGATCCGCGGCATGGCCGAAGGAATGCCGTGAACAGGGGAGGAGGGGGCGGCGATTGAGATCACATGACGGCGTTAGCTCGTCGCCGAGACGTTCACAAGCATCTGAGTGCGAGCGTGCGGGGCGCAGTTGTCGCAGGGCCTTTCCACCACTGGCAAGTTCAAGCCCATCTGCGTGAAGGCGCGCACAGAGGCCTACACCATCGATTCCCTGATTGCGAGGGCGGAGAACTACAGGAAGACGCAAGCGGAGATCGAGCGGAGGGCCAAAGAGGCCGAGGATGCGGCTGTTGCTGCCAGTGGCGAGAGCTCGTTCGGCGGCAGCCCTTCGCCCGCGGCTCCGCAGCAGGGCGCGCTTGCAGCGGGGTCTGGGCCGCAGCTCAATCCTGCGGCGATGGCTTGCTCGCGGTCCGTCGTCGCCCCCTCCGAGTGCAGGCCGCCGAGGACGCCTGGCGCGAGGCCTCGCGGAGGCGCCAGATCCGTCATGTCCGATGCCAAGAAGTCCGAGGTGGAGGAGCTCGTGGATAGGCGCATTTCAGCTCTGGACACGAGCAGGTGCTGGTCGGGCGCGGCCATGGGCCGCGAGCTTCGCTGGGCCAGGGAGTCGCACGAGGGCATCATGGAGGCCAGCCCCACCCCAGAGGACTCGGAGACCGCTGACAAGCTGAAGGAGCACATCTCGGTGTGCGATGCGATCTGCGGGATCGTCGAGAAGCCCCTTCGAGAGATCCCGAAGAGCAAGCTCGACAGCTTCCTGAATACCCTGAAGAAGTACAACGAGGACATGTCGAGCAAGTGGAAGTTGGATAACTTGAAGGTTAAGGTCCTAGGGGTATCGCTGGGGCACCCAACCAGAGGTCGCAGGACTGCGCGCGCGGGTCGGGGTATGGCGGGGGGAGGCGACCCGCGCGCGCAGCCACTGGCCTGTGTTTGCAAACCCTGGCCGTGCCCCGAAGGTGGGCGACCTCTTGAAGAAACCTGACATGTGCATGCAGGATTTCTTCTATATGATTGCGCCGTGGGAGGTCCAGCACGCCGAGGGCAATGGGAGCCTCGCGTACAGGCCGACGTACCCCAGGGTGATCTCGTTGGACGGCAGCCAGGCGGACAAGATCAGCCAGTGCGACGCGTTCTTCACCGAGGCGCTGAACCATCACATCCATGCTGGCGAAGGCGGCCGATCCCAACTTGTTCAGTTCTGCACCTCCTGCCTCGACTGGATCGACAACAACTGCCCCGAGGATGAGGCCTTCGACGATGTCGTCAACACGATGGCGCAGTGCTTGAAGGCTCTCCTGTGCATTGCCAGCCCAGACAAGATCGCCTACCACGATTCCATAACTAAAATGGGGGAGGCCAAGTCGCAGTGCCCTGGGCAAGCGTGCCTCCGCCACCTGAACTTGTCGGTGAAGCGCTCGGAGTTCTACACCAGCCTCAGGGCCGTGCGAGTGCGAGTTCACGTTGGCTTTCGTGGGGGGTGCTCGCGCTCTGGAGATTGTGGCCCTTGGGGGTGGGCAGGTGGTTCACGCAGTTTGTGGTGCCTGAGGGTGGCGTGGGGCCTAGTGGGCGGGTGGGCGGAGGCGGGTTCAGATCGCGCAATTCGAGGGCGGGCGAAAGACTCGGGGGGGGTGTACGAGGCCGGCCTCGATAATACTAGTGATTGAGCGCGATGCTGGTGGAGGGAGGGCCTGGGTGGGCTAGGGGCGGCTGAGGTTGGGCATGTATGGGTTTAGGTGATCAGGAGTTGAGGCGCAGGGCTGGGCGGGGAAGGCGGCACATCGCCAGGTTTAAGGGCTGCACCTTCGGAGTGTACGAGCACCCTCCCCCTCAGCGCTTTCCAACGTGAGCTTCTGCCCAGGATGAGTGCACGCAGTACCACACCAAGACGCAGGAGCACTGGCCCGAAGTTTGCAGCCTGCTCAGCAAGATGGAGCAGTGCGAGACCGTAGCGGAGTTTGTGCAGTCGGGTAACATGGCGATCGCTCTGAATAAGGTGGCCATGTTCGCCATGTATTGTCGGCCAGGCTCAATCGACGGCTTCAAGTCTAAGCTGACGGCGCTGTTCGAGAAGTACCTCGCCGACCTGCCGCAGGGCGACCCGTCCAATGACCCGAATGGCAAGGCTCTGACCGCGAGGCTGGCCGAGACAAAGGCGTTGGTGACTGCAGCGAAGATTGGCTTGCCAGAGAAACATTCCGTGTGGGCGAAGGCCTTGTCGGATATCCAGAAGCAGGAGTCCTCCGTGAACAAGTTCAACGCCAGCCAGGGCCTCGGGCAGCTGGCGTCGGCCTTGAATGCAGATGCATTGGCAGATGATGCGACGCGTCTCAGCGTCATTCCCGTGATCGAATCTGTCTTGGCCGCGGGTGGCAGGGGCGTTGAGGCCCATAGAGGGAGCGGCGCTGCCATCTTCCAGCACGTCCTCGACGGCATCGCCATGAATTGCACCCAGCCTGACCATGCGGAATCCTACTGTGACATCCTCCTGAAGCTCGCAGAGGCGGAGTGGCTGACCGACGCCTCGGGTACAAAGCTGAAGGCTGCGACCGACATGATCAAGAACTGGGCACCGCTCAACACCCACGTCGCGTGCTGGGATGGCCTGGCGTCCGACGACGAGAGCCGACTGCGGCACGGCAGTGCGAAGAACATCATCCAGGGCATGATCGCAACGCTCAAAGCCATCAAGTCAGCTGGCATGGTCTCGGGCATGGGCGGCTTGGAGACTGACGCGACTAACGCTGGCCAGAAGACCGAGACGGCGAGCTTGGTGGCTAAGACGTCTACCATCAGGGTGCTCTCTGAGAAGACGAACGTTCTCAGGCCGATCAGCCGTGGCGGCGACGACAAGGGCGACCCGTGGGACTGCGGGATGCCCGACGGCAATGGGGGGATTGAGGAGGTCTTGGAGCGCGCCTTCGAGACCATCATGCTGATCGACGGCTCGGCCTACCAGGAGAAGATCGACGCGGTGCAGCATGCCTTCGAGGAGGCGCTGGAGTGGTCCGAGGTCTTCGAGTACCAGGTTGATACCAGCGTCATCGACGACACGAACGAGGTGCTCTGGAACGCCATGGCCACAAAGTACACGGCCCTGCTCATTCACACCTACAAGGAGAACTCAAGCAACCCGCCCAAGTTGCGCCGCGAGATCAACAACTACAGGAAGCAGATCAAGGAGCAGTCGGGCGTCGAGAAGGCGATGCGCCAGGACGTCATGGAGTGGGCGTCGAAGACGTGCTCCCTCAAGGGCTGAGCTGGGCGAGGACGCCTTGCTGTCGGGGGCATGGGTTACGGTGACATGGGGCACCCAGGAGAAGAGGGGGCAGTGCTCTCAGGAACATTCAGTTCATCATATTCTGCCATCTTCTCGAGCCGCATCTTCGTCCTCTCACATAGGCGACGCTTCGCGTTTTGCCGCCAGCCCGCCGAGCGAAGCACTGCCATGCGAGTTGCATTGATTAGGAGGCGCGCGGCTCATCCAATTGCATGGCCGAGCCAGCCGTCAAGCCCGCTCTCGAGGTCAGTCCCAGCAAGCCAGCGCGCTGAGTTGCTCAGCAACTCGTCGGAGGATGTCGGATGGCACGCTCGATGCCGACATCGATCGTGAGATCGATATAGAGATCGATTCTCATCGATCGTGAGTTCGATAGAGAGGTTGATAGTTGTATCGGTAGTGGCATCGATAAGGGGGCACCGATAGTGACACCGATCGTGAGATCGATCGTGGGATCGGTAGCGGGGCCGCTAGTGACATCTGTAGTGACCGAGAGTGAGGTCGAGAGTGAGATTGATCGTGAAGCCGATCATGAGATCGACAGTGAGAGCGATAGTTAGATCAATGGTGGGACCAATAGTGAGAGCGTAGTCATATCGATAGTGAAATCGATAGCGACATCGACAGTGGACCGGTTGCGAGATCGGTCATGCGCGGGCCAGTACGGTTGCCTTTACCCCTCCCTGTAAACAAGGGGCGCGCGGGCTGTGCTTATCAGCTGGTCGCGGGGCATGGGCCCGATGGGTTTAGCCACGCGGTCCGCGCGCGCGTGGCTATGTCGTTTCGCTGGGTGGGCCTCGTCGGCGAGTGGGCGTAGATTCATGGGCGGGGGGGGGCGCGTGGGCGTCGGCCTTTGGGCATGGCCGAGTGGGCGGGGCCGTTCGGGTGGGGCTCGTTGCAGTGGAGGCACGAGCGGTGCCCGAGGGGCTCGGCCCCGCGGTGCAGGGGGGCCCGCGGATACCGTCGTGTTGGCGGTGTCAGTGGGTCGGGGCTGCGAGGGCGGGGCCCCTCTGGCGGGGCAACATGGGCGGGG